CCCAAATGGGGCTCCCATTTACTGAAATACCATGAATTTCGATCCCCCATTCCAAACGTGAGTACCCCAGGCCATTTCCGTTACAATATATATATCAGTTTGCTTCACTTTTTTAAGTAAATACTTCATAAAAAAACATGACATTCTTACCTACAACAGACATTCACGAAGGCTTCCTTGCTCTAAGAACGATCGAAATACGGATGTCAGATCCAACAAAATTAAGCGGTTGATTGATTTATTCAATCAATCGTTGATTGACTTGATCGAGAGAATTACATTTTAGTGATTCTTACTGACTACCAACAAGATCAAAATCTACTTTCACAGCTTGAGCTGAATTCTAAGTCACGAAAAAATCATGTATACAACCTGAAATTTAGATTAACTGATAATTGATAAGCTCTCTCATGATAACATTATCAATAAAGGTAATTTGAGATTGTTAGTTGTAAGTTTGTCTTTAACCTCTTTAACCTACCTGGATTGGTTGTTACCTGCCACCACTAGGATATTCAGTTATTAATTCTATATGTCAGAAGTGTTTGATTGAAGTGATTGTAATCAAGAAAAGAATCCTCTCGGTAAGCACGGTTCTCAATTATTAGCTGTTTACCTACTAACATGGTTAATCATTCATTCATTCATCTGATTATAATCTTTCTAGCCTAATTACATTAGCAAATATATCTTATTAGGTCATCCTATCGGAGCACTAATATTGTTTAGAAACATTGCTTATTATGACTACCAGTTAAATATATTTAAACCTCAAAACTAAATTATGAATGTCTGTTGAAAAGAAAATATATTTTACTAATTTAGTCTAAAATTTATGCAATTGAAATCGGTATTTTTTTTTATATTTATTATGAAAACGTAGTTAGTAATTGTACAATATTGCAGTTTTAAAAAATCTCTCTACTAACTGAACGTATTTTTCAGATATCATTTTGGGAACCATGGTAGAAGTAGAGCTGCCCACAATTCAGAAAAACTGGGTTAAACGGTCATTAACCGCTACCTGCCTTATCAGTTATCTCATTGTTATCACTTATATTGGACTAGTCCCAATATGGGTTTCAACGATGGCCATTCAAGTAAAATGCTTCCAGGAAATAATTACCATTGCATATGACAAGAAACGTCTTCCAGATATTCCATTATTTCGAACGCTAAATTGGTATTTTCTGTTTGTTGCTAACTATTTTTTAGGTGGGGAAACTTTTTCCCAGTATTTAGATGTATATGCGGCAAAGTACTACCTTCTTGCCAAACTATTTCAATATCATCGATTTTTGTCGTTTTGTTTGTATATGAATGGTATTATATGGTTTTTAAATCTACTCAGAAGAAAAGTTATCAGGCAGCAATTTAGTCTCTTAGCGTGGGTACACTTCTTGTGTATCATCATAGTGTTGCAAAGCTACATGATAATTCAGAATCTTTTTGAAGGATTGATATGGGTAGTTATTCCTGTCACTCTAGTGTTTGTTAATGATATTTTTGCTTACATTTTTGGCCGAATCCTCGGGAAGACGCCTTTGATCAAAGTTTCACCCAAAAAAACTCTTGAAGGTTTTCTTGGTGGGGGCATTGGAGCTTTAGTTGTGGGTTTTGCTATTGCGTGGGCTTTATGTCATATTGACCATATGGTGTGCCCTACAAAATTTATTATTTCTGCAGAACATTCTATTAAAATGTCTACGGAATGTAATCGCTCTATCATTTTCAGTCCGACCAGTTACAATTTCGGTCCGGTTTCGTTAAATTACTACCCGTTTTTGAAACATAACTTTATTTTAACACTGTTTGCCTCTATTATTGCTCCCTTTGGAGGATTTTGCGCTTCTGGGTTTAAAAGAGCTTTTAAAATGAAAGACTTTGGAGACACTATTCCTGGACACGGTGGAGTAATGGATAGATTCGACTGCCAATACTTAATGGCAACTTTTGTGAATGTGTATATCGTCAGCTTTGTACGAAATTATAGTGTGGAAAGGATGTTTGCTAAATTTTCCAATTTAAATGACGAAAATCAACTGAAACTATTTAGCTTACTTAAACATAATTTAGAGAGCCAAGGCATATTGCAAAGCAGTTAAGATATTAGGTTTGCTAGGTTTCTGTGAAGTATTCTCTATATTCTATTAGTTCAGTATTTTGATTTTCTTTAAGAATGTAGAAGCACAGCTTAAATATTGGTTGGAGATGGTGATAAATATGAGACTGAAATAAACAAGGTAAATTACCACCTTGTTATAGACACGTTAACTAGGTAAACATGTAAATATATAATAGGCTTCTCTGAAAGTCTGGTCATTACTTGCTTATTATTGTTATGTAATTTTAAGGGATACTAGAATTTAAAATAATAATAAATACATCATTTATTATCATTGTTCAAATTAAGCGTACTATAGAATATAAATATAATATAATAGCAAAATATAACCTTTTTTTATATTATAAATATTATTATATTATTATAAATATTTTAGAATTGAAGTAGTTTTCGTTTAGAAAAATATTCAGTCTCATATTTTAGAGAGTTTAAGTGCACGTTTAATACGGGCGTTTTTGATAGATTAATAGATTCTAGGTAAAATGTCGAGTAACTTTGTTGCCAGCCGATAAACGTATTTTTTGGCTTGGATTGTTCCCTGCAATATAATAAAGTGACTGTAATATTTTGTATGTTTTTCACTTAGTGGGATTTCCACGAAAGTATGCAATTTCCATGAAAACCCGAAGAATTGGGTATAGGATACCTGTATAGCATTCCATGTAAAATAATGAATTGAAATTCTATAAATTTTGGATCTGTTTCTGTCATAAAATACAGGCTTCCATTTAAATTAAGCAAGTTATTACCGTTCAAAAGGTTCAATTTTGGGACATCTTGTATGACGTAGTCGAATTTTCATTAATTTAACATGAAGCAGCATCTATTACTAGGAGGAAGGTGAAATTTGTTGTGAAAAAATTGTAAGCTCTAGGCATGATAAATCTTAATAAAACTCACATTTATGGCGATCGCAGACACTAATAACATAATCATATACAAGGCATTCCATTTAAAAAAATGCAGTTTTGGGTTGAATCTAGTAATTGGGACACCCTGTACAGTGGAAAATCATTTTAAAATGTACCCCACCGGACCTCCTTTTATCCGTAAAATTATAATTTTTTCAAATTAATTAGTTCAACCACGATCTTCCTTGTCGTATAATCTGAATAACCCTGTACAATACCATCATGTGGTTAGTTCAAATGGAGTATACAGACACGACAGAATATATTTCCCGCCTATCACTAAGCATGACAAAACTAAAGCGCTTTAGCATCAATGGCCGATCCAGTTTTGAAATCAGGGGGTTAATTAATTTGAGATTCAGTCCGAACAGCTAAGTTCTCCTCTTCCATTGACGCTCTAAGATAATTACATCCATAAACTCAAAAAGGATAAAACAGAAACGCATCCAGCTGTTTCATATAAATTGAGCAAAATGCTAAATCGAGAGTTTCATAAAAACCGAACAATAGTTTGAGAGTAAATGCTCTTTTTTTTATTTAGCACCAAAAAGTTGATTCCGCTCCATGATAGAAGATGTTTATATTTGCCTGGAAAACCTGTTTTGTTCACGCCGACCATCCAATCTAATTGCAACCAAAACTTGCGCTCGAAAATATTTGCGTGCGAACATTCACTTTCTACAAAACAATCAACAATAAAAAAAACTGAAATCGCACTGCAAATGACTCATTCATCCAAAGGGACAACCAAGCAAACAATTATTTCACTTTAATTCTGTAGTTCGCTGCCTTCGGAAAGTAGTAAAAGACTCAATATCGCTTGAGTTTTTTTTTTGGAAAAGGTGGTACGGGAAGTGAAAAAATAGGTCGTCAGTCTTTTGTGCATAACCTGCGTATGATACAGGATGATTTAGTACCATTAAGTTATCTGCTAACTCAAAGATTACAGTTTTCAATAGGGAGTGGATCTTTATTGTTTGTTGAAGTGTAATGTGGGTTCTCTGATGGTTAATGGGTAGAAAATGGAAGATAGGGGCGCCAGCTTGCACTAACCTGGTAAATATGATTTATAATCTTTAAATCCTTTAGCTAGAACTTTGAGTTTAGTTTTTCGAGAAGCAACTGATTTTTATGGCAATTTTTATTTCGCTTTAATGCCTCTGTTCATTTCAAATTATTAAATTTTTGACTAAGTTTATGTAATACTAAATAATGTTTTTTTTTCTTTCCAGGTGGCTCGATGCAGCTTTTGGTAAGTTTGGCATTATTTTGCCCCTGGTTGCCATGTAGGAATACAGCTTTAAGTCCCATATTATTGACTTGTATTTTATCATATTGCTGCATGTCATATTTGTTCGACAACGAACGATGAGGGACGTTCTGTTTTCCAATTTTATTACCGTAAAATACATTTAAACTTGGCTATTATACGTTAACGAATCATATTTTTTCCAGAAGATAATTTTTACTGTTTTGGAAGGTAATTTGTGTCATTTCCGGTTTTTTCTTCTTTATAGTACCTACACCTTGATAAAACAAGATTGAATTGTTCTTGAATTCTCAATTGGACTTTTCAAATTAAAAATAATTTTACCTCAATTTTAAAAAAGTGACTTGCCAGGTTTTCTAAAGTGGACTGTTATTATCTAAACCTAAAAAACGCTACATCTGAAAAAAGTCGTACTGATGTGAAATACACTATATATTGTTATCTAAAGTAATTATTTACATTTAACTAAATCACTCAAGGGTGTTGTTCTTGTGTTGCGGTAATAATAGTTAGTTTTTCGGGGAAAAAAATCGACGTTTTTTTTATTTTCTGCGATCTGTAGGTGTAGTAGAAGTAGATGGCAACTAGGGATCTATTTTTTCTTTGATAGCATTTACGCTGCTCGCATGTGCAGATTTGCGGATTTGATGAGGATAATTTTATAGAATGGCTTTTTCGAAGTTAAAGCTTATTTATTTTCGTACGCTTTAGAATTTTCCTCGGATAGAACGGGTAGGTTTTTCCAGTGCTTCTATTTATTCACTAACAACGGCGTTGCCTTATTGACTTAGCGAAATAAAGGGATCCGCATCCTCTTGAGGCAGCAACGGAAACATAAACGCAATAAATACTGTTTAATACGGAATTTGACCTTAATTCTAACCCTTTATTATCATTTAATTCCTATGTTTATCAAATTGTTCAATTTAATTTATAGGTGATCCTTCTTTGAGACATTTGGGTCCAATTAAATATTACTTTATTTATCATGTACACACAGAGAAAGACACTTAGAGAAAAACCAAAATTAAAAAGCCTCGACAGTCAAAAAGTGAAATTCTTCCAAAAATTCGGGTACTCGGCTTTAAATTCACTGGTAACTTTTTGCTTGGAAAATCTATTCGGTATTGAAGTGTTCATAAATGTGAACTTTTTCAACTAATATTAAGTTCTCGATAGCCTTTTTTTGAAATAAAGATGTTTACTACTACTACTATTAAGTTCTCAAAGATGTTTTTCAAAACGTTGAGGTCGAACTCGTTTTGCTCCCTTGCTGTTGCTACTATCCAATTTGTAATTACATTGTTGAAATCCTTTTCCAAGGGCAATCCTCCTTCTTTGAGGAGTTCGGCATAGTAAAATGAGAAATATAGGCAAACAGACATTTTCAAATTTCTTGCTACCTCTACTTGTGCTCATACATTCGTTGAATAACGTCAACTGGATCACATAATTTTTAAGATATTAAAAGTAATTTCAGAAGTTATGGAAGCTTGAAAAGTCAGGAACAAAATATATCGGCCCTCAAAGAAATATAAAGTATATAGCAATGAAAAAAGCTCACCAATATTTTTTTAAAGCGTAGCGACCTCTAATTTCTATTTATTATGATAATTCATATGAAATATCAGTTAAGTTTTTGGTTGGGACGTCTCAAATTTAGAGTGATGGAAAGATCAGTTTCTTTATGTTTTTTTTATGAATTGAAAAGAGTGCTTTTTTTGTATTGTGTTTTGAGACGTAATTCGAAATATAGCACGCCTGAGGGGTCTTACCTAAAAAGCTCTGTCTAAGCAAAACTGCAATTAGTAATTAATATGATTTTACAATAGAAACCTGACGTTTTAATAGCAATCCTAAAATCGTTTTACACAGCTTGTAGGAAACAGAATATTATGATAAAAAATAACATATTTAAGTATAAAATGTGGAATGTAAATATTTTTAATACCTTATTCAAAAGAAACGAACTGAACTAAAAATTTTTTGCAATTAATTTAGCCATTTAATTACCTTTACTCTTAAAAATCCAGATCGTTTAGGTTCCGCTTGGAAAAGATAGCATAGCTCATCGTCCGAAAAGTCAAGGAAACATTTCTAATTTAACTTGGTATACCTTGCAAACTTCTTTTACAGCTGAAGTTACAGATTATAGATATATTTTGATAAGAAATTAATATTTAGCAAAAACACTTGCTTTCAACTACAAATAGACAAGGAAATTTGGTCTTTGAAGCAACTTTTCATATACGCCACTGACTTCGATTATTATCTACAATACAAAAACCAGTAAGTTCAAGCTTTACTCACCGACTGGCAGCTATCTGAGTCATTTCAAACAATATCCGCTAATAACATCGCCAATCCTGCACTAATTAGGCTCAGGTAGGATTCCTTCGAGAACGATCTGCTAATTTTCAATGCTGGAAGTTACTATATAATAATGCAATGAGTTTCAGCTAAAGAGGATACGTAATACTGGAAATTGTCAGGTCTAATAAATTGCAATTCCGGCACCAATTGAGAAATAAAGCAAAATAAAAATAAATTGGATAATCCAAAGAATAAAAAATATAATATTCGTCATAAAGTTAAGAAACAGTCAATTGTTTTTCATTGGCTTGAGTGACCAGAAGTTACATTCTGTTGGTAGTTAAGGTAAAGCATAGTAAAAATGTATAAAAATTTATAGTTTACCTTTTTTAATTGATTGAGATTTAATTTGATGTTTTCTAATACCATTAATGTAGCTGGTAATGTGATTAAAGATTCCTTCAAGTGAACGCTATCTTTCTACTCTCGTCATGTTTTTTATCAATTCTTACCGACTTTTCCTATAATTAGTTTAAAATTGAAACAATTCTCTAAATCTTGGAACTTATTAAACCGATCACTAATTTGAAGATAATTGAAACCTTAGGTATTATCCGATTGAATTCCGATCTTGGAGAGACATTTGCGCGAGTTTTTCAATGATTACTAATCGGTTATTTATTGGTCATGAATTCCATGCACCACTGAATTATTTATGGGCTTTGCCACTAGCTCTTTATATTTTTAAGTCGTTGGAAATTTCTTGCCAGATGCTCTTCGGAAAATGGTCAATAAATATTCTATATATATATTTTTGGTAAAAGTACCACAAAATAAATTTTTAAATA